AACATATATGTAAAATGTTTAAACATCTTAAATGAAAACGTTTTTGGCGGAGAATTTTGATAAATAGGTTGTTGTTGTTGTTCGAGTATGACCATGTTCCATGACATAAAGCATGTGTCGTGTATGCTGGCTGCGTTTTAAATTAACGATGTGATGTCTTGGAACTTTCCACCCACAGCCTCTTACATATATCCATTAAAACATTGTTGGATATATTTGAAGAATTAATTAGTAAAACATGTTAAACAACATACCTATGGTTACCATCAAATAGGTAAGATTTAACAACTGTGCTTCACACTCAGAAAAGTGATGCTCTATTTTAAGGTAAATGACAGTTACTAAATATCTACATCATTACACATCCTGATACTTTTCACAGGGCACTATATAAGTGAGTAAGGTGATATAAAATAACATTATTATTTAAACACGATATATATATATATATATAAGGGAATAAGACGATTTACAATAACAATTTTTTTCTTTATACGACTCAGACAACTGTTATTGTGTCAAAACGTATAACATAAAAACAATATTGCTTCTAGATAACTATGTATCCAACTATAGCTTTACTGTCCATACGTGACTCCAACGATTCTATTGGGTGAGTATCCTTATTGACAGAATAACATTACCTGATAACACAAAATGCCATGTCTAATATAAGCACCAAACAAATAAATGTCCAGAATATGTCTTGTTTTACCCAAGATCGGATCAGGCATAGCTGAACTGCTACCTTGAAAACAGAAGTATCACCGGATTTGTACTAATAGTCGAGACAAGTGTTAGTGAAGGAGTACAGTTTGCGGTTGACACCGAAGTTGAGCGCACTCCCTGTCTGTATTGTGTCCCAGCGGCGAAATAACGAAATCTTTCTTAGCAAAGTGTGCTGTTTCAAGAGTTCTGTTAATAAATTCAATATGTGTATATAATTGCAATAAAATAACAGCTTAAACACATACAGAAATAATTTTTGGAAGAAGTGCCTTTAAACTAGGCCTGTGTTTAACCTAGATTTAACTTTTGGAACGTCTGATTAAATTAAAACTAGAGCAATGTTTACCTAGATTTAAGTTTAGCATATCTACTTCAATTAAAACTAGGCCCATGTTTACCTAGATTTAAAGCTTAGTACATCTACTTCAATTAAAACTAGGTCCATGTTTACCTAGATTTAAAGCTTAGCACATCTACTTCAATTAAAACTAGGGCCATGTTTACCTAGATTTATAGTTTAGAACATCTACTTCAATTAAAACTAAGTCCATCTTTACCTAGATTTAAGTTTAGCATATCTACTTCAATTAAAAACTAGACATATTTCTAATTTAGATTTCAGTTTAGCACATCTACTTCAATTAAAACTAGGCCCATGTTTACCTAGATTTAAATTTAGCACATCTACTTCAATTAAAATCTAGACCTATTTCTAATCTACATCTAACTTTGGCATATCTACTTCAAAAGCAACGAGGCCTAAGTCTAATCTAGATTTCACATTTGGTACATTTACTTCAATTTAAAGTACGCCTATGTTTAATCTAGATTTACTGAAATTAATACATCATTCACTGTTCATAAGCGTTAGACTAGACAGAGAAGATGCAATTATTCCTGTAAAATTATACAAAAGTAAAAAGAAACAATATCAGTAATTTATATTCCAAAAGCAAAACTGTTACTATGTTTTCCTAAATTTAACTTTTTTTTTTTGAATTTATATGCTACAACCAATGTCAAGTATCCGGTACTTGCATATTTTTACTGCAGTGACTTTGTTCTCTGGAAAACTTAGCCTTTTCCATGTGTCCGAGTGATATGTTATGAACTAATTACAGTTACAAGCCTTTTATTTTTATTAAGCCATTATATGAAAAATCTTTGTGTGTGTATAATTGGCGAACTGCAGGACCTATTGTCGACAAACCAGGCATTTACCTTTAAGGCTTCCGAGAGAATGACATAAGTAAGGATTGGTTTTTGAATGTCAGTCATTTGTGTCACCCACAGGAATCACATGTTTTATTTATACGATGAATTGGCACGTCAGCTAATACAATAAAATTGTAGCGTTTGGTGGTTCTAAATAAAATTGACCTATTGAGTCATCTATGTGTAGCAGAAATGTTCAGTTTTTGACCATACTCAATTAAGTTTTGCATGCATCCTTAGAACCAGCCCCTAGGAGTTTCATGCCAAGATCGGCTCTTAGTTCTGACCCCTATGTCACTTCCAACCCCATCCCTGGGCCATTATATTTTCCCGTACTATTCCATTGTTAAAATATGTGAAGGTATATTGATATCACTTGCATTCATACTACTGTAGGTTTAGATTAAATCAAATTTACGGTATTTCAAGATCACCTTGCAGTGTCACATACGGTTGTTGTTTTTTGCAAATGCATTATGTATATGATATTCCACACCTGGTGACTCTGCCAAAGATATAGATTGTGTGATTCTCCCATCAACTATGGGCTGTATCCAAACTATTCTATGCCAGCTTTACATATTTGAATACAATTGGAGTAATTTAAACACTAATAAATAAAACTGAAAAGGTTATAAATATATATCTAAAATCTGAGGGTTTACAGCAGCGTGAAAAAACTGGAGTGATTACACAGGCCTGCGAATTTGAACTTCGTAAAAGTTGTTTTGGTCCTAATAACGGATTTTTCCATAATTCAGCTACGCAGATTTCAAAAATAATATTCACTTTTTCTATCACGTAAGAATTTTTTACAAATTTGGAAGAAAAAACTCTTACTTAGATCAAATTTACAACAAATGTACCACAAATATAACAGAATATGTTTGGGTCACTTACACAACATCTTGTTGCCATAGCGACGAATAAGTAATATTGCAAAGAAAAAATAATGTCAAAGTACACGTACAAACAAATACTATTCAGACACGACGCGTCATGCGGCCTGTTAACCATTTATATATTAGTGATGTGTTTCTCGTGGGTTCTAGAACGATCGATAAAACTCTCGCGATTGGTCTAGAGAAATCTATAGCCAGCGGTTGTCAACATATTAGCATAACAAAATCTGACCCGATTTGAATGAAAATGATTCACTTATGAAAAAGTACATATAAAGTTTTGTGAAAAATCTGTACGTGACTGAGAAAAATGGATACCATTTTCGGATTCAGCAAACAGGAATTACTGTAGACCATTTCAAAACAATAAAACCATCGCAGGCTTGTGTTATTATTGTGTTTCACAATGTTAAAATGACAGTTCTCGTAAATCTAAACATTGAATCTATAATATTCACACAAAATAAGTAAGGTTTCAGAGAAACAATTCATGTCTTTATTGATGAATGCACATTACATTCTTCAGAAATATAATTCAAGTTTTTATCATTCTATATGATACAGAAAGTGAGAAAATAAACATGGCTTGACTTGTCATCAAATTAATATTAGATATAGTTGTGAAATTCACAACAGTTCTTAAGACACGTAACTGTGGTTTTCATCACGTGTATATTGGATATAGAAAATCCCAGATTTATACAGTGTATAAATGGAATGAATTGACTTCATACTAATAAAGATAAAATCAAAGTTTGTGATTCTAGAGCAATAACAAAGACTGTTATAGATACAGATGATAAAATGGTAATGTTGGCCATGAAAGAACCAACACAAGGTGGAATAAAGAAAAGAAGGATAGTAAAAAAAAAGTAATAAACACGAAAAAAAATAGCAGAAAAAGTACAAGAGAAAAGTACATCAACTACAGAATAACAAGGAAAGAGAGCAACAGATAAATAACGAAAGCCAAAGAAAAATCATAGGAACAGTTTGGAGCATACCTTGCAGACAGTCAGAATTTTCTACAAAAAAAGTTAAAGCAATGCGGAATCGGGAAGCAGGTTATAACCCAACTGAAATCATCAATGATACAGATAATTGATAGTGAGATGGTACTCGACAGATGGATGTATTATTTCAATGGTTTGCTCAACCTAAATGAATCAACAGATTGCGGAAGAGAACAGAAAGCAATAACACTTGAGCCATGACTATTACTATCAGCAGTAGAAAAGGCACTTAAAGCAGCTCCAAGTAATAAAGCAGCTGGAAAAAAGCGATTTGACCTCAGGACTGATCAAGGCCACAAGCTGATACAAGATGGCTAAGAAGGATTTTCGAAGCAGCCTGGGGACAGCAGGAAACACCTGAAGATTGGCAGAGAGCAATCATAGTTCTCATATGGAAGAATAAGGGTAGTAAAAGAGATTGCACAAAGTATAGAGGGATATCACTCTTAAGTCATACAGGGAAAACATACACTAAAATCATCGAAAGGAGGGTACGACCAATCATTGAGCAACAACTTTCAGAATCACATATACCTTTCAATTAAACAGAAGCTACACAGACGCTATATTCACTCTGAAACGCCCTCCAGTAGCACAGCGGTATGTCTGCGGACTTATAACGCTACAAACCGGGTTTCGATACCCGTGGTGGGCAGAGCACAGATATCCCTTGTGTAGCTTTGTGCATAATTAAAAAACAAGCACTGACAGAAACACAGTACAGAACACAACCAAAGGCTGAAATTAATCTTTATCGACTAAGAAAAGGCATTTGACAGTGTAGATCGATCAAAACTGTAGAAAACATTACAGAAATATGGCATAAGTGAACACCTAATAAGAGTCTATCAAAGTCTATATTCATTAAGTATGAGCACAGTAAGAACTAAGGCAGGGACATCAAACCCTTCAAAGTAACATAAAGTATGAGACAGGGTTGTGTATTATCCACACTGCTCTTCATCAGCTATACTGACAACATCTGCAAAGAAGCCAACTCGTCAGTAGAGCATGACATCAATGAGCTCCTTTATATTGACGACCAAGCCCTGAATCGCTTGGACATCAAATGCAAAGAATATAATGTGAAATAAATACAGAGAAGACGGAAGTAATATCTATTGGAAGACAAAGAGAAAAAATGAAAATTCGGGTGAATAATGCTGACATCAAACAGACAGAAGAATTTAAGTTTTTGGGAAGTGTATTTACGGAAGATGGTAAAATGGACAGAGAAATAAACATCAGATGGACCAAAGCAAATCTGGTTTTAGAACAACTTTCGCCACTGTTGCAACGTAAACACACCCAAATCAACACAAAAGTTAACCTAATAAAAACTATATTCCTGCCAACACTGTGCTTTAAATGCCACATCTAGACTATAACAGCTTCACAGAAGCGTATGATCACTACAACGGAAATGTGATATCTGAGACGAGCCCTCGGAGTATCGTGCCCAGATAGAATCAGAAACGAAGATATCCGAGAAGTATGAGGACTAAGACCAGTCCTAGAACATATTAATAAGCAACAAATAAAATGGTTTGGCCACCTTACTAGGATACTTTGGAATACAACAACACAACACATACAAGGCAAGGGGAAGACCAAGAAGGAAGTGGAGCCAAGACATCGTAGATAACATTAAACACCACGGAATCATCTTTAGAGAAGCTCTGGATAGAGGACATTAAAAGTCCCTACATTTTCTTTTACACCTCACGGTAGACAGAGGAAGGAAAAGTAAAGTAAGCAAGTATATTGGATATGGTACAAAAAGCAACGATAGATAATTAGAGACAGAAGTTGGGTTTTTACCGAATTGATAGTGGGAGTAATAGAGAATGCTTTAAACGTTAAGAGAAATATTCACAAGTTTAACACACTCACAGAAAAATGCCGTGAATTATGTGTTTACAGAAATAGTTTTGTACGTGTTCTTTATTCAATAACAATTCTACAGATGTATTCTGCGCCCGTTTGAGCGTGACATTTTTTTGTCAGACCAACAACGGGTAATCCTAATAGCAGACTGTGTTACTTGGTATCATGACACAAATCATTCCGGGTAATTTAACACGCTTTGAAACGGGAACATCACCACCACATCCATAAATCATGTTTTAAATGTGACCATGCGGTGTTCTTCTCCCTAGTATTATTTCTTCTTGCTTGAAATTGACGATAGTTGCTTCAAACGGGAAAATACGCACAATTTTCATCGAGACTAAAGAACGTCGGCGTGACAATATTACTAAATTCCTAGATAGATGATGAAAGATTAAACCTGGGGAAAACCACTGGTTGTGTGATAAACAGATAAGCTTTGATTCTATAATAACTGCAAGCACAACAATGGCAGTAAAATAGAAGCTATCTTTTTGAATACTTTTAGTTTAGAAATACAGAAATTAATGAAGTCTGGAAACGTAAAAAAATGTGCAATTTATATAACTATATGATTTTATAACAGGTATTTCGAAATGGTCCATATTATATAGCTATGTCCAATACAATAATCGCTCAACTAATTCATGTTCTTTTCTGAAATGAAAACATTTGAAACTGCACTAAAAAGCACTATAAATACTAATCACGAAATTAATTATTCGTCTGACCGGGAAACTCCACATCGTCTCATCAAATAGGTTGTTAAACAAACAATAAACAGCCAATTGTTTAATAAATGTTAAGTTTTATTCAAAATGTCATAGTATTTATCTTTTTTAATTATTACTGTGTAGGTTTTTCTGCTTAATTACCAGATCTATGATCATAGAATTACTAATAAATATGTAAACGTCTTTTGATAAATGTATGGTCGATGGTGCATCAATAAATTATTTGCAGCAATTTGTGGCACATAAAGGCTTTTAAAATGTGTAAATAAAATAGATATATAGTTCAGATAGCAGGAATAGTAAATACTAGAATATTCTGATTACAACGGAAGGATCTTGAAGCCAAGTCCTCTACATTCTTTTCAGTGGGGGTGAAATAGATATCTAATTAACAAGAGTTCATAAATACCTGTACAGGTGGCATAACTTTGGGGAAATATCCAGCTATTGTAATGAAGTATAGTTCTCTACCGTTTATATATGGATTAAGGATTCAAGTTAGAACACACTACAGGGAGGGTTTCAATGGATATTGCACAGTAAAATTGGTTTGACAGAAGATAGATTAAGAGGATTGTGGACAAAACAAGAAATATCTGCATTTAACGTGATTTTTTTCCCAAATTTTAAGCCTATAGATTGTAGTTGCTTAGATACCAAGATCATGATACAAAAGAGTCTTTTTGTGATAAACCTAAACGAACGTTCAGGCTGTTTTGTTCTGATAAAGATATTGATGATAAAATTTTTAAAAGTATTCATGTGTATCTTCTTCCGGCAAGGATGCAATGGGTAGCACCCTATTTGAATCTGATATTAGCACGTATTCAAACGTGCTCAAAATATAGTTCTCTGTCGACACGACTTCGAGAGAAACTCATTGCACATAAAAATAGCACGAGAAATATGATGGATTTTTGAGTATTTGTAAATAACGAAACAAACATATAATCACTTGGGAAAACATTTAAAAATAATATGTGAAGTGCTGAAACTTTTATCCAACTTTATTTAAAGAGCAGAACTTTTTACAGTTCAACAGAATGCATGATACTCAAATTTTGTACGATTCTTGAAACTCACCAACAGAACGAGAGCTTCTTAAAAAAAAAGGACTCGTGACGATATCATCTCATTTGGTCACGTATCTTCCAAAAGGCTGGGTTCACATCAATCGTCACAGGAAGAAGTAGAGCCGTGAAATCTTACTCTAACATACACATATTACAGGAATATTGTACTTTGGGTAAAATATGTTCTTGAATATAATCTCGTCTTCTCCTTTAGCTTAGTTTTCAAGCACTATATTGAAACTACGAAATATTGAATATTTAAACATTTGTTTAACAACAAGTTAAAGCTTGGAATGGTATCTTCTTTCATTGGGGTGTGTGTCTATAGCCAGACTAGTTTCGGAGAATTCCACTCCTCATCAGTGACCCTGGACACTACCATCAATAAAATATCAGACCAAACCAAGTCTTCATACTAGTGAGGTATCGAAAATC